GGGTTTTTTTTTTTTTTTTTTTTTTTTTTTTTTTTTTTTTGTAGAAGTTGAGCTTTACTTTAAGCTGCAGTTCTGGTCGCTGTTTTTCTTGTGGAACTGTTGTGTTTTGCGCCACTCACCATAGCACGGGATGTGCGCTCCGTTGTGTCCTCGGTCCTCGTCGGGGGGCGTTTTGCGCGCAGACCTGTGCGTGAAGACGTGGTATTTGCTGAAGGAGCCTTGCCCCGCAGCGGCATCCAATGACTGGCCCTCCTGCTGGAAGGGGCTTCGGGACTTCTCACCGTAAGCCTGACCTTTGGAGGTCAGGAAGGGGCTGTGTTTGGTGTCACTGGCTGGAAAAGTCCGAAAGTGTTCCGTCTGGTGATCCCTACCTTGGCTATAATATGAATCCATGGATGTCATGTCGGTGTGTGAAACGCAGCTCTCTGTGTTCATGTCTTTAAAAAAAAAAGTGAAGAGGGGAACTTTTTTTCCTCCCTCTCTCTCCCCAACAGTCCCTCCTTTGGAAAAGGAAGCGCAGAAACTCCTTCCTCCTTTACCTCATCCAGATGAAAACACACAGGCAGACCGCAGCTGGCTTTGGTTAGAGAGCGATTCAGATCTTTTCCAGGAACCACTGTCGTTGACCAAACTCCCCACTCAGGTCTGAGGGGACCAAACCCGTCTCTCCCCCCACCAACCTCTGAAGAACTGGACTCTGATTCTCTTGGCCTCGCGACCTCTCCCAAGTGATTATGTTGATGACATGAACAAGTTGGGTCGCTTATTTGCCAAAAAAAAAAAAAGTTGCAAAACAGGGGCGTGGGGCTCAAACACATGACATTAATGAGATCTGGGTCTGAATAAAACCCACGGGAGGACGGGACCGGCGCGGGGAGACAGACAGGGAGCAGGATTTTACGCTTCATTCGCGACGGTTCATCAGCAGAAAATGAGCCACATTCATCTGGTTTCAGGAGGAAATCTGTGCTTAAAGTTTGAAAGAAGAAACGAATAACAGATGATTGTTTKCCAATTATTTATTTAATCCACTTAAAACATTTAAGCATTAAATGATCTGTGATGAATCAGAAGAATCCGTTATAAATAAGGTTAAATAATGCTGCTTCTTTATATTTTTACATTATATATTTCAAAATAATTTTCTTTATTTTATGAACTTTAGATCTCCTAAAGCTTTACAACAAAATAAATATTAATAATATTAATACGAAAATAAAATAACAGTTTTCTGGAAAAAATGTTCTGAATCCAATTTTTAATTTGCTGTGAAAATTTGAGAAATATCTAATATCAGGTTATTAGTTTTTTAAATATTTTCTCTTAGAATATAACCAATTTAAATTTTATGAACTCATAAATGTTAAATTAAAGTATTTATTTTCTCTGAAAACAAAGTGTCAAATAAAATCTCAACATTTATCTTTATTTCAAAAACAATTTAAACTCAAAATATCAAAAGAAAACCTTTTAACCAAATTGTAGAAGCATCAGCTCCACAATTTATTTTCTTAAAGAAGAAATGTGAAGTGAATTAAAAACACTTTGGCTGCTTGTTACCTGAGTTTAARGTTTTCTCTGTGAGGCTCACAAACCCAAAATATAACTTTCAGCCTTAGAATAACTACATTTACTGCAGCAAAGACCAAGACGTGTTCATGCAGTCATGCACACATGGTGGACACATGCACGCATCCGTGCACATGTGTGAGAGACAAAAGAGAGAGAGGAGATGATATTTGCTGCAGATATGTGATTTCAGATTAAGCCCAGGAGACAGAGAGGTGTCTGTGTTTCTGATGTTTTAACTCAGAGGGACTGAGAGGAGCTCTGATGACTTCACAGCACTTTACGTTTCATCTTTCACTCTCCAACAAATATCTAATTACTGTCAGCTCGGCCGCTCCGCGTGCAGCAGCAGGATTTATGACTTAAAGATCAGTGAGGCAAATTTCAACCTGCAGCGTCAACCTTATTTTCTAATTTTATCACAAACCGGAGCAAATGAATAAATATAACAATAAAAAGCTTCTATAAGACAGATTATGTTGTTTTAGAGATAAAGCTGTTTTTTTTATCTTTTAAGAGAACAAAATGAAAAGTCAGTGATGAGAGGTTTTACAGTGCCAGGATAGAATATATTGGTCGTTCTTTAAACAAACATTTTAAAAGTTTATTTCATAATAAACATGGATCAGAGTTCTGCTGGCTGCTGCTGGTGAGTTAAAGCCCGGGACGGTCAGAGTGGGAGTGTGAAAATCTGCGTTCAACACTACTACAAAATTATTAATGTGACACTTTTCTGGCTAAGCTGCATGAAACCCCCCCCCCCCCCCCCCCCCTAACCGAAGGCCCACCTGCAGCGAACAATGAAGCGTTAAAACACACACATACACAGTGTGTGTGTTTGTAAGCCACGGCACAATAAGCTCTAGCTTCATGTTTTACCCACATGAACATTAACTGCGTCTGGTTTAGCAAACCGATTTTGCCAAATTCCATGAAGAGGAGATKAACTCTGATGTCAGAGGTTAAATTTAAACTCTCTGCAGTGATTTATAACTTTACATCTGCTGGCTTTTAACATCAAAGCGGTGGCAGTCAATTGATGAAGGCTGTCACGTGTTTTATCATATTTTATTGAGCAGTCAAACAGTCACACTGCCAAGAAAACGACAAGCTCCAAAGGTAAGTATTGTTCTTTATGCTTTTTTAATGAACAGGTTTTTAATAATGGTGTGTTTTCAGTCATCCGAATCCATAAATAAAATATAAATTGTCTTATTTCCTTTAGCGAAACCTCTTCAGTTATTATTGTGAAGTTTTAGTGTAAATCAATCACGGTGTCGTGCACACAAAGCTCTGCTCGGAAGCAACACGAGGCTGAAAACATCGAAGGAGTGGGTTTAGATGAGACAAAAGCCCAATTTTCCACCCAGGAAGAGGAAATGTCAGCAGACAGGCGGCAGCTTCTTCTAAAACGTTTCTCGCCACCGGATTCTTCAAAACCATGACTCAGTTGACTTGCAGCCGTGACTAATTTTTTTAGGAAGCCGGCCTCGTGTAATTATGTTTTATTTCATGCGTTTTTCCCTCCCTTTGGTAAAATATATGAAGACATTGTTCTGGTGCCACAATGAGGAGGACTGTTGTCACAGCACTGACCCTGACGTGGCCCTTTACACTGGACTGCTTTCAGATTTATTCCTTCTCTAACGAGACTGGCAATATGTTTGTGAAAGTGGGGGTAAACACACACACACACACACTGAGGAGACACAAGCCCACATTCTTGCTGCTCTGACAGCATTAAACTTTAGCCTCTTTGGTCTGACTTTAGCCCGTGGCAAAGTGACTTGATTGAGGCCTTTGATGGGCATTAATACACCGTGGAGAGGCAGCTTTGTTTGGGAACGAAAACGAACATAAAACGGAAGGCGGAAAAGGAAGCAGAGGGGCCCACAAGCTGATCTTATTTAATTTCACATAAAAGAGTCATTCCATCTCCACAAGGCCTGTTTACGCACCTCCAAGAATGAAAACACAGACTGCAGCATGAGACTGTGTGTGTATTTGTGTGTCTGTGTGAGCAAAACAGATGTTTGATGAACATTTCTAAAAAAAAAACTGGAGCAGCTCAGTTTGTGTGTTTTTTAATTTTTTACATCTTCCGTTAGACAGAGGACACAAAGAGCTTGGAACATCTCAGTTGTGTTTTGTAATCAGCCCTGTGGAAAACTTTGAGCCACTGGGTAAAAAAAAAAATTCTCTTTTATGAGACAAAATGAGTAGAACTCTGCTTCACGGGCTAATCTGTGTGACATTAATTGAAATACCCACATTACATCAAGTCCTGTGTTTTGATTTAAAAATGTTCTTGTTGTTGGGCTGCAGTCTTGTAACTTTGAGGCTGCAGATTTGAATCCAGGTTGTCAGGAGGAAGATCTGATATCAAACAACTGGAGAGTTCAGTCACTGTGCTGAAAGTGTTTTGGAGGTGGTAGTAAGGTGGCTGGATGGGGTATGTTCCCACACACTGTCCTTTTTTTCTGGGAGGTTGTGCTGTTTTAGTGTTGTTAGTTTTTGGAAGTGTTGCTCAGATGCAGAACTTATTAAAGGTATTATATATACTGTAGATCACCTCTGACCTGGGAACATCTCCTAACCTTCAAGGAGGAGCAGGAGAGTGTTGCTGAGGAAAGGGATGTCTGGGGATGGATGGATGGATGGATGGAAAAATGGATGGATAAATTGGATGGATGCATGGATGGATGATAAATGGATGAATGGATGGATGGATGAACGGATGGATGGATGGATGAATTGACTATGGATGGATGGATGGATGAATTGACGATGGATGGATGCATGGATGGATGGATAAATGGATGGATGCATGAATGGATGGATAGGTGGATGGATAAATGGATGCATGGATGGATGGATGGATGGATGGATGAATTGACTATGGATGGATGGATGGATGAATTGACTATGGATGGATGGATGGATGGATGAATTGACTATGGATGGATGGATGCATGGATGGATGGATAAATGGATGGATGCATGAATGGATGGATAGGTGGATGGATGGATGGATGGATGAATTGACTGGATGGATGGATGGATGAATTGACTATGGATGGATGGATGGGTGGATAAATGGATCAATGGATGGATGGARGGATGGACGGACGGACGGATGGATGGATGGATCAATGGATGAATTGATGGATGGATGGATGGACGGATGGATGGATGGATGTACAGGGAGCAGAACACATGACTGAATACAAAAAACATAAAACTAAAAAATTCAAAAACACAAACACAACAAAACACACATTATTCTTCTTCCTTCCATTTGATAGAACAGTTGTTCCCAAAGTTGGGGTTCGAACCCACAGTGGGGTTCTGAAACATCAAGGTGGGGTCCTGAAAAGATTTTCTGAATTAAGTACATTTAAAAATTACTACTAACAAAAGATTGTTTACCTTAGTTGTTACTAAAGAGCAAGGTTCGTATTTAAAATGGATAAAAATAATATAATGAATATTGTTACTATGTCCTTGTTTATTTCATCTGTTACCAATGTTTACCAACCAAACACAGGGAACACAGGGTTTTGCTATTGTTATTTTGTGGGTCAAGAGCTGATAAGTTTGGGAACCAGTGCGATAGAACATACAGACAGTTGCTTTTATTATGTGGGTCAGGTTCACACTGGCCTTTGTGTTCCTGTGTTTGTCGTGTGAACAAACTATCAGAGTCATACATGTACAGTACGGCTGCTGAAAAGATCCCTCTGTGAGGAGGAGCAGATCTGAGCCTCTGCAGCAGATCCTGTCCTGCTGATGGTGTTTCACTCTCTACAAACAAATAAGAGAAATTACTTTTGTTTGCTCATTTTTTTACACATGTGACACTTGCACTCTGCTGAGCTCTTCATATTTGATTTTTAAAATATATATTTTTTATTGACAAAAGTTTAATAGCAGCCAACAAGTGGAAGGTTTTCAATTTCATCAGCTCATCTGCATCTGTGCTTCTGGCTGTCAGTCTGGTCCTGCTGGTCTTGTTGAGTTGGGATGTGCTAGGTCTGGATATTGGCATGAATGAGGTCACAGTTGTTTATCAGATGGATGCTCACTTTAAAC